ACCCCCACCCCCACCCCCCCCCCTCCCCCCCCTCACCGCTGAAGTTCACCCCCCGGATGTGCTGCAGGAGGCGGCGCCCGTCGGGGGGGTCCATGCGGGGGCAGAGCCCCCCCCCGGGGCAGAGCTCGGCCGCGAGGCTGTGCAGGGCCCGCGCCATGGCGAGCACCGCGTCGATGACGAACTGCACCTTCCCCTCCTGCTCGTAGGGCGAGTCCCGGCCGATGCGCTCCCGCCCTGACCCACACTTGGGGGTCAGACCCACAGCGCCGCCCTGACCCACACTTGGGGGTCAGACCCACAGCGCTGCCCCATAGCACTGCCCTGACCCACACTTGGGGGTCACACCCACAGCGCTGCCCCATAGCACTGCCCTGACCCACACTTGGGGGTCAGACCCACAGCGCTGCGCTGACCCACACTTGGGGGTCAGACCCACAGCGCTGCCCTGACCCACACTTGGGGGTCAGACCCACAGCGCTGCCCTGACCCGCACTTGGGGGTCAGACCCACAGCGCTGCCCCATAGCACTGCCCTGACCCACACTTGGGGGTCAGACCCACAGCGCTGCCCTGACCCACACTTGGGGGTCAGACCCACAGCGCCGCCCTGACCCACACTTGGGGGTCAGACCCACAGCGCTGCGCTGACCCACACTTGGGGGTCAGACCCACAGCGCTGCGCTGACCCACACTTGGGGGTCAGACCCACAGCGCTGCCCTGACCCACACTTGGGGTTCAGACCCACAGCGCTGCGCTGACCCGCACTTGGGGGTCAGACCCACAGCGCTGCCCTGACCCACACTTGGGGGTCAGACCCACAGCGCTGCGCTGACCCACACTTGGGAGGTCAGACCCACAGCGCTGCGCTGACCCACACTTGGGGGTCACACCCACAGCACTGGGCTACCCCACACTTGGGAGGTCACACCTATAGCACTGCCCTGCCCCACACTTGGGGATCAGATCCACATTGCTGTCCCACACTTGGGGGTCAGACCCACAGCTGCTGCCCCAGGGAGCTATGGGGCAAGCAGGGGTCTATGGGGCAGGCAGGGCTCTATGGGGCAAGCAGGGCTCTATAGTGCAGGCAGGGCGCTATGGGGCAGGCCGCACGCTATGGGGCACCCTGTGGGGCAGGCAGCGCTTTACCTGTGCACTTGCGGACGGGCCCGCCGTGGGGCTCGCTATGGGGCTCGCTATGGGGCAGGCGGCAGTTGAAATCCTCCTCCCAGAACTCGTGGAACCAGAGGTTGCGGCGGTTGTTCTCCAGCGAGCGGGACGTGAAATACTCATCGAAGCCTGCAGGGGGCACCCCATAGCCCCATGCACCTCACCCCATAGCGCCCTATAGCGCCCCATACCACCCCATAGCACCCTAGCACCAGCGCTTCGCCCCATAGTGCCCTACAGCGCTCCGTAGCGCCACAGCACCAGCGCCTCACCCCATAGCGCCCCATACAGCCCCATACCGCCCCATACTGCCCCATAGCATCAACATCTCCCCCCACAGCGCCCTATAGCGCCCCATGCAATCCCATAGCACCATAGCGCCAGCACCTTGCCCCATAGCGCCCCATAGTGACATGGGGCTGCCCCATAGTGCCCCATACCTCCCCATACAGCCCCATAGTGCCCCATAGCGCCCCATAGTTCCCCATAGTGCCATGGGGCTGCCCCATAGCGCCCCATAGTGCCCTATAGTGCCATGGGGCTGCCCCATAGTGCCTCATACCTCCCCATACAGCCCCATAGTGCCCCATACCGCTCCATAGCACCATGGGGCTGCCCCATAGCGCCCCATACCACCCCATAGCACCATAGAGCCAGCACCTTGCCCCATAGCGCCCCATAGCGCCCTATAGTGCCCCATACCTCCCCATAGCTCCCCATAGCACCCCATACAGCCCCATAGCGGCCCATACCGCCCCCTAGCGCCATGGGGCTGCCCCATAGTGCCTCATACCTCCCCATACAGCCCCATAGTGCCCCATACCGCTCCATAGCGCCATGGGTCTGCCCCATAGCACCCCATAGTGCCCCACACCGCCCCCTAGCGCCATGGGGCTGCCCCATAGCGCATAGCACCATAGCTCCAGCACCTTGCCCCATAGTGCCCCATACCGCCCCCTAGCGCCATGGGGCTGCCCCATAGCATCCCATAGCGCCCCACACCGCCCCCTAGCGCCATGAGGCTGCCCCATAGCAGCCCATAGCGCCCCACACCGCCCCCTAGCGCCATGGGGCTGCCCCATAGCACCCCATACAGCCCCATAGCACCATAGCTCCAGCACCTTGAAGGATGGTGCCCCAATGCCCCTAGCGCCATGGGGGAATGGGAATAGGCCCCAATGGCCCCCTAGCGCCATGGGGCTGCCCCATAGGGATAGCGCCCCACAAGGCCATGAGGCTGCCCCATAGCAGCCCATGGGCGAATGGGGATGGGGATGGGAATGGGGCTGCCCCACAGGGCAGGGGAATGGGAATGGGCAGGATGGTGATGGAATGGGAATGGGCTCCAGGCCCAGCATGGGAATGGGAATGATGGGGGGGAATGGGAATGGGAATGGGATGGGAGCCCACCCAGGATGGGAAGTGACCCGAGAGGGGCGGGGCGGCGAATCCAGCACCCGGAATGGGGACGGGAGGGGAAAGGGAATGGGAATGGGATGGGAATGGGGGGATGGGAATGGGGGGGGAATGGGGATGGGGATGGGGATGGGGATGGAGGGAATGGGGATGGGGATGGGAATGGGAATGGGGATGGAATGGGATGGATGGGGATGGGAATGGGGATGGGGATGGGGAATGGGGATGGATGGAGGGGGATGGGAATGGGGATGGGGATGGGGATGGGGATGTGGGGAAGGGAATGGGAATGGGGAATGGGGCGGGGAAGGGAATGGGAATGGGAATGGGAATGGGAGGGGAATGGGGATGGGAATGGGAATGGGAATGGGAATGGGGATGGGAATGGGAATGGGAATGGGAATGGGGATGGGAATGGGAATGGGATGGGAATGGGAATGGGAGGGGAATGGGAATGGGGATAGGGACAGGGGGCACGTGAGATGGAATGGGGATGGGAATGGGAATGGGAATGGGGATGGGAATGGGAATGGGAATGGGAATGGGAATGGGAATGGGAATGGGATGGGAATGGGGATGGGAATGGGGATGGGAATGGGATGGGAATGGGAAATGGGAATGGGAATGGGAATGGGAATGGGAATGGGGATGGGAATGGGGGAATGGGAATGGGAATGGAATGGGAATGGGGGGATGGGATGGGGGGAATGGGAATGGGGATGGGGATGGGATGGGAATGGGATGGGATGGGGAATGGGGATGGATGGGGATGGAATGGGATGGGATGGGAATGGGGATGGGAATGGATGGGGATGGGATGGGGATGGGATGGATGGATGGAATGGGAATGGGGAATGGATGGGAATGGGGAATGGGAATGGGGAATGGGAGGGGGATGGGGATGGGGATGGGAATGGGAATGGGAATGGGGGGAATGGGGATGGGAATGGAGATGGGAATGGGGATGGGGGGGATGGGGGGGAATGGGGGAATGGGAATGGGAATGGGGAATGGGGATGGGAATGGGAATGGAGATGGGGGGAATAGAGTGGGAATGGAGTGGGATGGGAATGGGAATGGGAATGGGAATGGGAATGGGAATGGGAATGGGAAGGGAATGGGAATGGGATGGGAATGGGAATGGGAATGGGGGGAATGGGATGGGGGAATGGGAATAGGGGGAATGGGAATGGGAGGGAATGGGGGATGGGAATAGGGGGAATGGGAATGGGGGAATGGAAGGGATGGGAGGGGAATGGGAGGGATGGGAATGGGATGGACTGGGAGGGGAATGGGATAGAATGGGATAGACTGTGAGGGACTGGGAGGGGAATGAGAGGGACTGGGAGGGACTGGGATGGGACTGGGAGGGAATGGGAGGAACTGGGATGGACTGGGATGGGACTGGGAGGGGAATGAGAGGGACTGGGATGGGAATGGGAGGGACTGGGATGGGAATGGGATGAACTGGGATGGACTGGGATGGGAATGGGAGGGACTGGGATGAACTGGGATGGGAATGGGATGGACTGGGATGGGACTGGGGTGGCCTGGGAGTAGAATGGTGGTCAATGGGATAGACTGGAGTGGACTGGGAGAGGAATAGGAGGGGAATGGGATGGACTGCGATAGACTGGGATGGATTGGGATAGACTGGGAGGCACTGGGAGAGGAATAGGGGGGGACGGAACGGACTGGGATAGACTGGGAGGGACTGGGATAGACTGGGAGGGACTGGGAAGGACTGGGATAGACTGGGTGGGACTGGGATAGACTGGGAGGGACTGGGATAGACTGGGATAGACTGGGAGGGACTGGGATAGACTGGGATAGACTGGGAGGGACTGGGATAGACTGGGAGGGACTGGGATAGACTGGGAGGGACTGCTCTATGCTGGTCCACACTGCTCTACGCTCCTCTATACTGGTCAATACTGATCTATACTGGTGTATAGAGGTTTATACTGGTCTATACCGGTTTATTCTGGTCTAGACTGGTTTATACTGGTTTATACTGGTCTCTGCTGCTCCATACAGATCACTCAGCTCATCCCATCCACCCTGGTGAAGACACCTTGGGCCGAGCAGTGGGCAGGGGTTCCTGGGCCAGTTCCTGCTCTATACTGGTATGAACCGGCCCATACCAGTTTAGACTGGGTTATACCAGTCCATACTGTTTTATACTGGTCTATACCGCTTTATACTGGTTTATACTAGTCTGTACTGGTTTATATGGTCCATACTTTTATATGATCTATACCGGTTTATACCAGTCCCTACTGGTTTATACTGCTTTATACTTGTTTATACCAGTCTATACCGGTCCATACTGCTTTATACCAGTCCATACTGGTTTATACTGGTCCATACTGGTTTATACCGGTCTATACTGCTTTATACTGGTTTATATCGGTCCATAGTGGTTTATACCGGTCTATACCAGTTTATGCTCGTTTATACCGGGCCATACTGGTTTATAGTGGTCCACACTGGTTTATAATGGCCCATACTAGTTTATACTGGTCATATTAGTTTATACTGGTCATACTAGTTTATACTGGTCATACTGGTTTATACCGGTCCATACTGGTTTATACTGGCCCATACTGGTTTATACTGGTCCATACTAGTTTATACTGGTCATACTGGTTTATACTGGTCCATACTGGTTTATACTGTTTTATACTGGTCATACTGGTCCATACTGGTCTATACTGGTTTATACTGGTCATACTGGTCTATACTGGTCATACTGGTTTATACTGGTCCATACTGGTCATACTGGTCTATACTGGTCATACTGGTCTATACTGGTCATACTGGTTTATACTGGTCCATACTGGTTTATACTGGTCATACTGGTTTATACTGGTCTATACTGGTTTATACTGGTTTATACTGGTCCATACTGGTCTATACTGGTCTATACTGGCGCATAGCGGGGCCTCACCGGATGTCGTCCTCGTTGGCGAACAGGACGACGCCGCGCGCCGTCGACGTCTCCATGAGCCTCCCGATGACTTTGTCGAACTCGCCCGGCCGCGGCTCCCGCGGGATCTTGATGGATTGAGCGATGCAGAGCCCGCCTGCGCCCGACGGCACGGCCCAGTCCCCACCGGTCCCCACCGGACCCCACCGGTCCCCACCGGTCCCCACCGGTCCCCACCGGTCCCCACCGGTCCCCACCGGTCCCCACCAGTCCCCACCGGTCCCCACCGGTCCCCACCAGTCCCCACCGGTCCCCACCAGTCCCCACCAGTCCCCACCGGTCCCCACCGGTCCCCACCGGTCCCCACCGGACCCCACCAGTCCCCACCAGTCCAGCCCAGTCCCCACCAGTCCCCACCAGTCCCCACCGGTCCCCACCGGTCCCCACCAGTCCCCACCGGTCCCCACCGGTCCCCACCAGTCCCCACCGGTCCCCACCGGTCCCCACCAGTCCCCACCGGTCCCCACCGGTCCCCACCAGTCCCCACCGGTCCCCACCGGTCCCCACCAGTCCCCACCGGTCCCCACCGGTCCCCACCAGTCCCCACCGGTCCCCACCAGTCCCCACCAGTCCCCACCGGTCCCCACCGGTCCCCACCGGTCCCCACCGATCCCAACCAGTCCCCACCGGTCCCCACCAGTCCCCACCGGTCCCCACCAGTCCCCACCAGTCCCCACCGGTCCCAACCAGTCCCCACCAGTCCCCACCAGTCCCCACCGGTCCCCACCGGTCCCCACCAGTCCCCACCGGTCCCCACCAGTCCCCGCCAGTCCCCACCGGCCCAGCCCAGTCCCCACCGGTCCCCACCGGTCCCCACCGGTCCCCACCGGTCCCAACCAGTCCCCACCAGTCCCCACCGGTCCCCACCGGTCCCAACCAGTCCCCACCAGTCCCCACCGGTCCCCACCGGTCCCCACCGGTCCCCACCAGTCCCCACCGGTCCCCACCGGCCCAGCCCAGTCCCCACCAGTCCCCACCGGTCCCCACCAGTCCCCACCGGTCCCCACCGGTCCCCACCGGTCCCCACCAGTCCCAACCAGTCCAGCCCAGTCCCCACCAGTCCCCACCGGTCCCCACCAGTCCCCACCGGTCCCCACCGGTCCCCACCAGTCCCCACCGGTCCCCACCGGTCCCCACCGGACCCCACCGGTCCCCACCGGTCCCCACCGGTCCCCACCAGTCCCCGCCAGTCCCCACCGGCCCAGCCCAGTCCCCACCGGTCCCCACCGGTCCCCACCGGTCCCAACCAGTCCCCACCAGTCCCCACCGGTCCCCACCGGTCCCCACCGGTCCCAACCAGTCCCCACCGGTCCCCACCGGTCCCAACCAGTCCCCACCAGTCCCCACCGGTCCCCACCGGTCCCCACCGGTCCCCACCAGTCCCCACCGGTCCCCACCCGTCCCCACCAGTCCCCACCGGTCCCCACCGGTCCCCACCAGTCCCCACCGGTCCCCACCGGTCCCCACCAGTCCCCACCGGTCCCCACCGGTCCCCACCAGTCCCCACCAGTCCAGCCCAGTCCATCCCAGTGTGTCCCAGTGTCCCAGTGTGTCCCAGTATATCCCGGTGTGCCCCAGTGTGTCCCAGTGTGTCCCGGTGTGTCCCGGTATGTCCCAGTGTGTCCCAGTGTGTCCCGGTATGTCCCAGTGTGTCCCAGTGTGTCCCAGTGTGTCCCGGTGTGTCCCAGTGTGTCCCGGTGTGCTCCAGTGTGTCCCAGTGTGTCCCGGTGTGCTCCAGTGTGTCCCGGTGTGTCCCAGTGTGTCCCAGAGTGTCCCGGTGTGTCCCAGTGTGTCCCAGTGTGTCCCAGTGTGTCCCGGTGTGTCCCGGTATGTCCCAGTGTGTCCCAGTGTGTCCCGGTATGTCCCAGTGTGTCCCAGTGTGTCCCAGTGTGTCCCGGTGTGTCCCAGTGTGTCCCGGTGTGCTCCAGTGTGTCCCAGTGTGTCCCGGTGTGCTCCAGTGTGTCCCGGTGTGTCCCAGTGTGTCCCAGAGTGTCCCGGTATGTCCCAGTGTGTCCCAGTGTGTCCCGGTATGTCCCAGTGTGTCCCAGTGTGTCCCAGTGTGTCCCGGTGTGTCCCAGTGTGTCCCAGTGTGTCCCAGTGTGTCCCAGTATGTCCCAGTCCGTCCCAGTGTGTCCCAGTGTGCCCCAGTGTGTCCCGGTGTGTCCCAGAGTGTCCCAGTATGCCCCAGTGTGTCCCAGTGTGTCCCAGTGTGTCCCGGTATGTCCCAGTGTGTCCCAGTGTGTCCCAGTGTGTCCCAGTGTGTCCCAGTATGTCCCAGAGTGTCCCAGTGTGTCCCACTGTGTCCCAGAGTGTCCCAGTGTGTCCCGGTGTGTCCCAGAGTGTCCCAGTGTGTCCCAGAGTGTCCCGGGCCCACTCCAGTCCTCTCCCCAGTTCTCCCCATTCCCCCCCAGTCCTTTCCTAGTCCCTTCCACTCCCTCCCATTCCCTCTCAGTATATCCCAGTGCCCCCACCCAGTCCATTCCATTCCCCTCCCATTTCCTCCCATTCCCTTCCCACTCCATCCCATTCCCCTGCCACTCTATCCCACTCCCTCCCATTCCCATCCCATTGCCTCCCATTCCCCTCCCAGTCCCTCCTACCCCCATCCCATCCCCTCCCACTCTATCCCATTCCATCCCACTCAATCCCACTCCATTCCATTCCCTTCCCACTCCATCCCATCCCCTTCCACTCCATCCCATCCCCCCCATTCCCACTCAATCCCATCCCCATCCCACTCTATCCCACTCCATCCCATCCCCTCCCATTCCCTTCCCACTCCATCCCATTTCCCTCCCACTCTACCCCACTCCATCCCATTCCCCCCATTCCCATCCCATCCCCTCCCACTCTATCCCATTCCATCCCATCCCCTCCCTTTCCCATCCCATCCCCTCCCACTCTATCCCATTCCATCCCACTCAATCCCACTCCATCCCATCCCCTCACTTTCCCATCCCATCCCCTCCCACCCTATCCCATTCCATCCCATTCCATCCCACTCAATTCCATTCCCTTCCCACTCCATCCCATCCCCCCCATTCCCATCCCATCCACTCCCATTCCATCCCACTCAATTCCATTCCCTTACCACTCAATCCCATCCCCTTCCACTCTATCCCATTCCATCCCCCTCAATCCCATCCCCTCCCATTCCCATCCCACTCTATCCCACTCCCTCCCATTCCCCTCCCAGTCCCTCCTATTCCCATCCCCTCCCACTCTATCCCACTCCCTCTCATTCCCATCCCATCCACTCCAATTCCATCCCATTCCCTTCCCACTCAATCCCATTCCATCCCATTCCCATTCCCATCCCCTCCCTGCCACCCCCTCTCCCCACCGGCCTCCCTGGAGCTCTGCACGAAGGCCTCCACTCCGCTCTCCCCGTAGCTGCCCTCGGAGGCCACGGTGGCCACGTAGCTCCAGCCCAGGGCCCGCGCCACGGCCACCATGGCCTGCGCCTGCTCCGAGTCCGGCGGCACCACGCGGGAGAAGAACCCGTAACGGGCGGGATCGCTGAGCTCCGGAGCCGTGGAGGCGTAGCTGATCTGGGGGATCTGGGAACGGAACCGGGATGTGGGGAGCCAGACCTGGAACTGAGCTGGGGGATATGGGAACGGAACCGGGATGTGGGGAGCCGGGAATGGCACCGGGATGTGGGGAGCCGGGAACGGCACCGGGATGTGGGGAGCCAGACCTGGAACTGAGCTGGGAATGGCACCGGGATGTGGGGAGCCGGATCTGGAGCTGAGCTGGGGGATCTGGGAACGGAACCGGGATGTGGGGAGCCGGATCTGGAGCTGAGCTGGGGGATCTGGGAACGGAACCGGGATGTGGGGAGCTGGGAACGGAACCGGGATGTGGGGAGCCAGACCTGGAGCTGATCTGGGAATGGCACCGGGATGTGGGGATCCAGACCTGGAGCTGATCTGGGGGATCTGGGAACGGCACCGGGATGTGGGGAGCCGGGAATGGCACCGGGATGTGGGGAGCCGGGAACGGCACCGGGATGTGGGGAGCCAGACCTGGAGCTGAGCTGGGGGATCTGGGAATGGCACCGGGATGTGGGGAGCCAGACCTGGAACCGAGCTGGGGGATCTGGGAATGGCACCGGGATGTGGGGAGCCAGACCTGGAACCGAGCTGGGGGATCTGGGAACGGAACCGGGATGTGGGGATCCAGACCTGGAGCTGAGCTGGGGGATCTGGGAACGGCACCGGGATGTGGGGAGCCGGGAATGGCACCGGGATGTGGGGAGCCGGGAATGGCACCGGGATGTGGGGATCCGGACCTGGAGCTGATCTGGGGGATCTGGGAACGGCACCGGGATGTGGGGAGCCGGGAATGGCACCGGGATGTGGGGAGCCAGCCCTGGAGCTGAGCTGGGGGATCTGGGAATGGCACCGGGATGTGGGGAGCCAGACCTGGAGCTGGTGTGGGGGAGCCGGGAATGGCACCGGGATGTGGGGAGCCGGGAACGGCACCGGGATGTGGGGAGCCGGGAATGGCACCGGGATGTGGGGAGCCGGCCCTGGAGCTGAGCTGGGGGATCTGGGAACGGCACCGGGATGTGGGGAGCCGGGAATGGCACCGGGATGTGGGGATCCAGCCCTGGAACTGATCTGGGGGATCTGGGAACGGCACCGGGATGTGGGGAGCCGGGAATGGCACCGGGATGTGGGGAGCCGGACCTGGAGCTGAGCTGGGGGATCTGGGAACGGAACCGGGATGTGGGGAGCCGGGAATGGCACCGGGATGTGGGGAGCCGGGAATGGCACCGGGATGTGGGGATCCGGCCCTGGAACTGAGCTGGGAATGGCACCGGGATGTGGGGAGCCAGACCTGGAGCTGAGCTGGGGGATCTGGGAACGGAACCGGGATGTGGGGAGCCGGGAACGGCACCGGGATGTGGGGAGCCGGGAATGGCACCGGGATGTGGGGATCCGGCCCTGGAACTGAGCTGGGAATGGCACCGGGATGTGGGGAGCCAGCGCTGGAGCTGAGCTGGGGGATCTGGGAACGGCACCGGGATGTGGGGAGCCAGACCTGGAGCTGAGCTGGGGGATCTGGGAACGGCACCGGGATGTGGGGAGCCGGGAATGGCACCGGGATGTGGGGATCCGGCCCTGGAGCTGATCTGGGGGATCTGGGAATGGCACCGGGATGTGGGGATGCAGCCCTGGAGCTGAGCTGGGGGATCTGGGAACGGAACCGGGATGTGGGGAGCCGGGAACGGCACCGGGATGTGGGGAGCCAGACCTGGAGCTGAGCTGGGGGATCTGGGAACGGCACCGGGATGTGGGGAGCCGGGAACGGCACCGGGATGTGGGGAGCCGGGAACGGCACCGGGATGTGGGGAGCCGGGAATGGAACTGAGCTGGGAATGGCACTGGGATGTGGGGAGCCAGACCTGGAGCTGAGCTGGGGGATCTGGGAATGGCACCGGGATGTGGGGAGCCGGGAACGGCACCGGGATGTGGGGAGCCGGCCCTGGAACCGAGCTGGGGGATCTGGGAACGGCACCGGGATGTGGGGATCAAGCCCTGGAGCTGATCTGGGGGATCTGGGAATGGCACCGGGATGTGGGGATCCAGACCTGGAGCTGATCTGGGGGATCTGGGAATGGCACCGGGATGTGGGGAGCCGGGAATGGCACCGGGATGTGGGGAGCCAGACCTGGAGCTGATCTGGGGGATCTGGGAACGGAACCGGGATGTGGGGAGCCAGACCTGGAACCGAGCTGGGGGATCTGGGAATGGCACCGGGATGTGGGGATCCAGCCCTGGAGCTGATCTGGGAATGGCACCGGGATGTGGGGAGCCGGCCCTGGAACTGAGCTGGGAATGGCACCGGGATGTGGGGATCCAGCCCTGGAACTGAGCTGGGGGGTTTGGGAATGCCATTGGGATACTGGGAGACAGCTGGGAATGGGCTCGGGATGGGGTGGAAGGAGCTGAGCATCATCCAGTCCCAACCATGGGCATCCTGTGCCAAGGAGGACTTGGGTACTGGTAGGGATGGGGCATGGGGATATAGGCTTGGAATTGAGCTGTGGGGTCTGGGAATGCCATTGGGATACTGGGATACAGCTGGGAATCATCATGGGATGGGGCGGAAGGAGCTGAGCATCATCTGGTCCCAACTGTGGGTATCCTGTGCCAAGGAGGACTTGGGTACTGGTAGGGATGGGGCACGGGGATATGGGGATATAGGCTTGGAATTGAGCTGTGGGGTTTGGGAATGCCATTGGGATACTGGGATACAGCTGGGAATCATCATGGGATGGGGCGGAAGGAGCTGAGCATCATCTGGTCCCAACCTTGGGCATCCTGTGCCAAGGAGGACTTGGGTACTGGTAGGGATGGGGCACGGGGTTATGGGGATATAGGCTTGGAATTGAGCTGTGGGGTCTGGGAATGCCACTGGGGACACAGGACGGGGGGGGGGGGGAACAACAGTGGGGACATATGGACACCGGGGGGGCACCCAATCCCATGGGACATCCCCCCCTCCCTTGTGTATTCTGTGTCCCTAATCCCTCCTAATCCCTGGAGCCATTTGCTGCCACCCAGGGGCATTGTGGGTAACGGGGGGGGATGGAAGGGTCCATTGGGAATGGGGGTGTCAGAGCTGCCATGACCCCCCCCCCCCGATGTCCCCAATGTCACCTTGAAGGGATGGGGCTGCCCCCCACCTCCTGCTCGGTGTCCCCCAGTGCCCCCAAACAGGCACATTGAGACCGAGCACGTCGGGCACCGCGATGGAGATGCCATGGTCACCATGGTGGAGACATCTCGAGCACCATGATGGAGATACCTTGGCCACCGTGATGGAGATACATTGGCCATGATGGAGATACCTTGGCCATCGTGATGGAGATACATTGGCCACCGTGATGGAGATACCTTGGCCACCGTGATGGAGATACATTGGCCATGATGGAGATACCTTGGCCACCGTGATGGAGATACCTTGGCCACCGTGATGGAGATACATTGGCCACCGTGATGGAGATACATTGGCCACCATGGTGGAGACATCTTGAGCACCATGATGGAGATACATTGGCCACCGTGATGGAGATACATTGGCCACCATGGTGGAGACATCTTGAGCACCATGATGGAGATACATTGGCCATCGTGATGGAGATACATTGGCCACCGTGATGGAGATACATTGGCCATCGTGATGGAGATACATTGGCCCCCGTGATGGAGATACATTGGCCATCGTGATGGAGATACATTGGCCAACATCATGGAGATACCTTGGCCACCGTGATGGAGATACATTGGCCACCGTGATGGAGATACATTGGCCATCGTGATGGAGATACATTGGCCACCATGGTGGAGACATCTTGAGCACCATGATGGAGATACCTTGGCCATCGTGATGGAGATACATTGGCCACCGTGATGGAGATACATTGGCCACCGTGATGGAGATACATTGGCCACCATGGTGGAGACATCTTGACCATCATGATGGAGATACCTTGGCCATCGTGATGGAGATACATTGGCCACCGTGATGGAGATACATTGGCCACCGTGATGGAGATACATTGGCCACCGTGATGGAGATACATTGACCATCATGATGGAGATACACTGGCCACCGCGATGGAGATACATTGGCCACCGTGATGGAGATACATTGACCATCATGATGGAGATACATTGGCCACCGCGATGGAGATACATTGGCCACCGTGATGGAGATACATTGGCCAACATCATGGAGACACATTGGCTACCATATTGGCCACCACAATGGAGATGAACAAAGACACATTGGCACCATGGTGGACACAGGTGGTGATGGAGACACATTGACCACCATGATGGAGATACCTCGGCCACCATCACGGAACATACGGTGATGAAACCACCTTGAACACCACGATGGCGAAACATTGACCACTATGACGGAGACACCTTGACCACCATGATGGAGACGCCTTGACCAGTATGATGGAGACACATTGGCTACCATGATGGAGACACCTTGGCCACTATGATGGGGACACCTTGACCACCATGATGGAGACACCTTGACCACTATGATGGGGACACCTTGACCACCATGATGGAGACACCTTGACCACTATGATGGGGACACCTTGACCACCATGATGGAGACACCTTGACCACTATGATGGGGACACCTTGACCACCATGATGGAGACACCTTGACCACTATGATGGGGACACATTGGCCACCACGATGGAGACACCTTGACCACCACGATGGAGACACCTTGACCACTATGATGGAGCCACACTGACCACCATGATGGAGAACCATTGACCAACTTATTGGCTACCACGATGGACACAGATGGTGATGGAGACACCTTGACCACTATGATGGAGCCACATTGACCACCATGATGGAGATCCATTGACCAACTTATTGGCTACCACGATGGACACAGATGGTGATGGAGACACCTTGACCACTATGATGGAGCCACATTGACCACCATGATGGAGATCCATTGACCAACATATTGGCTACCACGATGGACACAGATGGTGATGGAGACACCTTGACCACCATGATGGAGATCCCTTGACCACTATGATGGAGACACCTTGGTCACTATGACAGAGATACCTTGACCACCATGATGGAGACACCTTGACCACTATGATGGAGCCACATTGACCACCATGATGGAGATCCATTGAGCAACATATTGACTACCACGATGGACACAGATGGTGATGGAGACACCTTGATCACTATGATGGAGCCACACTGACCACCATGATGGAGCCCCCTTGCCCACCACGACGGACAGAGATGGTGATGGAGACACCTTGACCACTATGATGGAGCCACATTGACCACCATGATGGAGCCCCCTTGACCACCACGATGGACACAGATGGTGATGGAGACACCTTGACCACTATGATGGAGCCACATTGACCACCATGATGGAGATCCATTGACCGACATATTGGCTACCACGATGGACACAGATGGTGATGGAGACACCTTGACCACTATGATGGAGCCACATTGACCACCATGATGGAGCCCCCTTGACCACCACGATGGACACAGATGGTGATGGAGACACCTTGACCACTATGATGGAGCCACATTGACCACCATGATGGAGATCCATTGACCAACATATTGACTACCACGATGGACACAGATGGTGATGGAGCCCCCTTGACCACCATGATGGAGATCCCTTGACCACTATGATGGAGACACCTTGGTCACTATGACAGATACCTTGACCACCATGATGGAGACACCTTGACCACTATGATGGAGCCACATTGACCACCATGATGGAGATCCATTGACCAACATATTGGCTGCTACGATGGACACAGATGGTGATGGAGACACCTTGACCACCATGATGGAGATCCCTTGACCACTATGATGGAGACACCTTGGTCACTATGACAGAGATACCTTGACCACCATGATGGAGACACCTTGACCACTATGATGGAGCCACACTGACCACCATGATGGAGCCCCCTTGACCACCACGATGGACACAGATGGTGATGGAGACACCTTGATCACTATGATGGAGCCACATTGACCACCATGATGGAGATCCATTGATCAACATATTGGCTACCACGATGGACACAGATGGTGATGGAGACACCTTGACCACTATGATGGAGCCACATTGACCACCATGATGGAGATCCATTGACCAACATATTGGCTGCCACGATGGACACAGATGGTGATGGAGACACCTTGACCACTATGATGGAGCCACATTGACCACCATGATGGAGATCCATTGACCAACATATTGACTACCACGATGGACACAGATGGTAATGGAGCCCCCTTGACCACCATGATGGAGATCCCTTGACCACTATGATGGAGACACCTTGGTCACTATGACAGAGATACCTTGACCACCATGATGGAGACACCTTGACCACTATGATGGAGCCACATTGACCACCATGATGGAGATCCATTGACCAACATATTGGCTACCACGATGGACACAGATGGTGATGGAGCCCCCTTGACCACCACGATGGACACAGATGGTGATGGAGCCCCCTTGACCACCACGATGGACACAGATGGTGATGGAGACACCTTGATCACTATGACGGAGCCCCCTTGACCACCATGATGGACACAGATGGTGATGGAACCCCCTTGCCCACCACGACGGAGCTGGATCTTGCCCCGCCGCCGCCCCAACCACTCACGTTGAAGAGCCTCAGCACGTTGGCCACCATGATGGAGACGGAGCTTGCCGAGGCGCCGATGACCCCCACGAGGCGCTCGGGGGGGGGCCGGCGGGGAGGGCTCCCGTCGGCGCATCGCCCTTCGCCTTCGGCCGGCGGCAGGAGGCTGCGGACGAAGCCGAGCGCCTGCTCCAAGGCGTAGGTGTCCCGGGAGCAGGTATCCAGGATGCGGGCGCCCAGAGTGAGGTTGGGCAGCACCGTGGGGTCCCCGTTGACGCGGTCCAGGGCGTAGAGCATGGCCTCCAGGCGATGGATGCCCTTCTCCTTCTTGATGGGACCGCAGGGGACCCCCGCGGGGCCCCGGGCGTGCACGGGGAAGAGGCCCCCCAGCGTCAGGTCCCCTTCCAAGCGGATGCCGTGGGGCTGGGTGGGAGATGGGGCAGGCAGGATGGGGCCCCAGAGGGTGCTCAAGGGGAGCAGGAGCTGCAGCATGGTCCTGGGCTGCTGGGGAAGGAGGGGGGGAGAAGAAGAGGGGTTGGGGGGGGCACTGTGGAGTGGCACCCTATGGGGCAGGGAGAGCACCCTATGGGGCAGGGAGAGCGCCCTATGGGGCAGGGATAGCACCCTATGGGGAGGGGAGTGGCACCCTATGGGGCAGGGATAGCACCCTATGGGGCAGGGAGAGCACCCCATGGGCATGAGAGTGGCACCCTATGGGGCAGGGAGAGCATCCTATGGGGCAGGGAGAGCACCCTATGGGGAGGGGAGTGGCACCCTATGGGGCAGGGAGAGCACCCTATGGGGCAGGGAGAGCGCCCTATGGGGCAGGGATAGCACCCTATGGGGAGGGGAGTGGCACCCTATGGGGCAGGGATAGCACCCTATGGGGAGGGGAGTGGCATCCTATGGGGCAGGGAGAGCGCCCTATGGGGAGGGGAGTGGCACCCTATGGGGCAGGGAGAGCGCCCTATGGAGAGGGGAGTGGCACCCTATGGGGCAGGGAGAGCATCCTATGGGGAGGGGAGTGGCATCCTATGGGGGAGGGATAGCATCCTATGGGGCAGGGAGAGCACCCGATGGGGACAAGAGTGGCACCCTATGGGGCAGGGATAGCACCCTATGGGGAGGAGAGTGGCACCCTATGGGGAAGGAATAGCACCCTATGGGGCAGGGATAGCATCCTATGGGGAGGAGAGTGGCACCCTATGGGGCAGGGAGAGCATCCTATGGGGAGGAGAGTGGCACCCTATGGGGCAGGGAGAGCGCCCTATGGGGAGGGGAGTGGCATCCTATGGGGGAGGGATAGCATCCTATGGGGCAGGGAGAGCATCCGATGGGGACAAGAGTGGCACCCTATGGGGCAGGGATAGCACCCTATGGGGCAGGGATAGCACCCTATGGGGAGGAGAGTGGCACCCTATGGGGAAGGAATAGCACCCTATGGGGCAGGGAGAGCATCCTATTGGGAGGAGAGTGGCACCCTATGGGGCAGGGAGAACATCCTATGGGGAGGAGAGTGGCACCCTATGGGGCAGGGACCCCACCCCCATGGCTCAAGGGACATCTGGTGCCTATAGGATGGGTGATGTTCCCCCCCCCCCAGTGGTTGAGCCCAAAGGGGGGGTTGGGGGGGGCCCAAATCCCTTCACACCCCCCCTCCCCCCCCCCCCCGCAGCTGGATTAGGGGGGATGGGGGGCGGGGGAGGGGATAATCCGGCTGCTCGGCTGCAGCTGGCGGGGGGGGGCAAAAGGAGGCTATGGGGGGGGTCAAAGGGGATATGGGGGGGTCTAAGGGGGTTATGGGGGATATGGGGGGGTTAAAGGGGGTTATGGGGGGGTCTAAGGGGTTATGGGGGGTCTAAGGGGCTATGGGGGGGTCTAAGGGGCTATGGGGGTTAATGGGGGTTATGGGGGGGTTAAAGGGGGTTATGGGGGGTTAAAGGGGTTATGGGGGGTCTAAGGGGATATGGGGGGTTAAAGGGGGCTATGGGGGGTCTAAGGGGTTATGGGGGGGTCTAAGGGGATATGGGGGGGTTAAAGGGTGTTATGTGGGGTATAAGGGGATATGGGGGGTTTAAGGTGATATGGGGGAGTTAAAGGGGGTTATGGGGGGGTCTAAGGGGATATGGGGGGGTCTAAGGGGGTTATGGGGGGTTAAAGGGGGTTATGTGGGGTATAAGGGGTTATGGGGGGTTTAAGTGGCTATGGGGGGGTTAAAGGGGGTTATGGGGGGGTTTAAGGGGTTATGGGGGGGTCTAAGGGGTATGGAGGGATTAAAGGGGGCTATGGGGGGGTCTAAGGCGTTATGGGGGGATCTAAGGGGGTTATGGGGGGTTAAAGGGGGTTATGTGGGGTATAAGGGGATATGGGGGGTTTAAGTGGCTATGGGGGGTTAAAGGGGGCTATGGGGGGGTCTAAGGGGTTATGGGGGGTCTAAGGGGTATGGAGGGATTAAAGGGGGCATGGGGGGGTCTAAGGGGATATGGGGGGTTTAAGTGGCTATGGGGGGGTTAAAGGGGGTTATGGGGGGGTTTA